ATACTGTGTATTTAAACTTTTAAGGATTGAGGTGATGGGTTTTGAAGTCTATTTCTGTAGTAGTCCTGTGTTCGTGAATTATGTGTTTTGGGTTGTTTTCGTTTTTCTTTTGTTATCATTAATTAGCAGGCTTCTATCTTTATCTCAATAGTTTCTTGGGTATAATTATTTATGCCAGGTCTGCATATTGTTGATTTCACATTCAGTTACACATTTAAGCAATTTGTTTCACTTGTATAATTAGTGTAAATTCACATTTTGTTCATGCTATAATTGAGTAAACCTTTTGTCCTTCCGTTACCGTCCTTCCGTTACCAAATTATAATCTGCTTAAAACGTTGTAATTATATAACCGAAACACTTAAAGTCAAATGAAAGGTGGTATAGTATAGATAAAGCTTCAGGGATTCCATTTCCTACCTTTAAAATATAATTGCCCCATAAAATTCACAGAGTTTTTGCAAAACGCGAATAAGTTGGAAAACCCTTGTCCGTTTTACCGTCCTTCCGTTACCGACCTCATTAATATTCATAAATCATAAACGGGAGGCATTCATGCCCCCCAAAAGTGTGGAAAATGAAAGTAGCATTATAGCAATACAAATGTGACATTTGTTTGCAGTAACTATGAACAGTGTTTGTGATACACACATTTGAAATTTTGTTTAATGAGTGAAAACGTCCTTCCGTTACCGTGGAATTGCCCATCTCCAAAAAAGTGGCAACTGACAATAAAGCACTCCAACTTTACAGTGAAATAACATCACAGTTGTGTGTACCGGGTATCTGCATAGATTTTTGAACGGATATTCAAAAGCTCAATTCGAATATTTGATTGATAGAATATTTGAGTATTCAATATATTTGGGACAGCCCTACTTTTGATCAAATCCAAGTTCCACTAAATATTAAATTATTAAGGGATCATGCATTGATTGATCACCTGCAAGTCTCAATGAATGAAAAATATCAGATGACTGCTGACAGCAGTCACTTCCTATTGCTCATTTAAGTGAAATCATCCATCTCTGATTTCATTTGTGCCCTCATCATCTGTTGACATCCCTCTTGATCAATTGGCCTCTTGAGGCAAAGCTGTCTCTTCCAACTTGTATCAATAGTGTGTGGTGCATTCACTCTGCCCAGGGAACCCGTGACCATAGTGTGAGTGTCATGTAAATCTGGTTATTTATTTGACATGCTTGTTTTAAGAAAATTACCATTATTAACGAGTGATGAAATCATTTCTGGACATCTCTGCAGAAAGTCTTTTGGGTCATTCTAATAGGGGTCCTTTTGGGTTTTTTCTGTCCCTGTTTCATCTGACATCGATGATTTTATAATTCTGATGCACACCTTTAGAACCCTAACTCCCCAGCCTAATTTACTAGGAACCATACCCATTCTGGCAAATTCCAACACCCACAACTGTTAGACTTAGTTTCTGGAGGTATGCCAACCCCAGTGTAAAAGACCATCAGTTTAGAAGGAACTGTACCTATCCCAACAGATTTAAACAAAACCTGCTGTTGAACTTTGATGGATTGAGTTCGGTTAGGGTTAATGCACTCGTCCTCCAAGAGTTAATATTATACCGGTAGCACACTATCTACCTGAAAAAATCAAAGAATTATTTAAGTCTTTCTTAATGATACTTGAATGGGAAATTACAAAGCACAAGAACCAAGATAACAGGGACAGGATATGCATGTCACACTTTAGACCTCAAATTTATAAAATAACCCATTTGTAAAACGTCCACAATCGATGCATTCATTATTTAATTTGTAAACACAGCTTTTACACATTTACATGTAACTGCCCTGTTTTTCGGGTGATTAAATGATGAGGTTAATGAGAGTGATTGAATTGCTAAACTTCCCCAATGGGTGGTGTATCTGGCTGATCAAAATATTAAAAATTAACTCATCAAACTTACAGTGTTCTTTGATGTCAAACAATTTGAAGAATGGTCTCATATACCGGTACCTTAAGTTTTTAAAAATTATTTCTGGTATTATCACTTGATGTACATTCAACAAGTTAAGAATTTGCGAGTTAGGCCAAGTAAAAAAAAAAACCAGTTGATCGTCACAGCCCGCATCCTTTTTTGAAGGGCTCCGCACCCTTTTTTGAAGCCGCATCCTTTTTTTTTTTAATTTAATTTTTTTTTCTCACCTCAAAAAGCTACCTTTTTCTTGTATTTCACTTTAATAAAATACATACACTGTACATGTAGAACACGTTTAACATGAATATTTTGACTCTAAATACTTACTGTTAGGATAGCTAGTTAAAGGCTGTCGTCATTTTTAACCGAAGTTGGCGGCCATTTTTAATTTAAATACTTGGTGGCCATCTTGGAAAACAATTTTAAATAAAAAATAAAAAGGCCCTCATCCTCCTCTTTTTGAAAAAAAAACAACGGACGATCAACTGGTTTTGTTTTTACTTGGCCTTACTCAGTTTTAATTTACATTGTATGTTTCACATACCGGTACCTGTAAACATGCACATTAAAATGCACTAAAAATGAATACCATCTTTGCTACTGTTTGTAATTTGCATACATGTACATCACAACGTCAACATGTAGGCTACATTTAAATTCTGAAGATTACGACCTAAATGTATTACGTTTTTTTCAATGTCATTGTACTCCGATGCATATTCAAACATATCCAGGGTCCTAAACCCTGCTTTTTGCACACGTTCACACAGCTATTTATATAAATTAATCAACAAGTAAAGGCTGCCAGCAGATTGGCAAATAATTGCACCATTACCTTCAAATTACACTGTTAATTACACTCTAATTGGGCTTTCAGAAGACAAAAAGTACAAGACAATAAGAGAGTGTTGTGCAAACCTATGTCAACTAGTGAATGTGTGTGCACTTGTATGTGTACATATTGTCATGATTGTGTAGTGTAATTGATTATGAAGCTAATCAACATGATAAACAGATTGTGAAATGAGATGACAAGCACAAATTTCCCCTTCAGATTTTCAGGTTTCCCATGAGAACCCTTAAGTTTTATGTAAAATAATCTTAACAGAGTTTGAAGTCTAGAGATTCATAGGTTTTCTTTATTGTTTTTAAAACAGGCAAACTTCCACAAAACGGTCCCGTGCAAACTGATGTGAATAAACATCATTTTACTATTGGCTGTCGAACCATCCTTAATTTCCTTAATTCATTCAATATTCATCCCGACGTCCAACATTTTGCCGCTTTGGAGAGCCACTCAGACAGGGCCCACGCAAAATCTCACACAATGTGCACCTGTTGTCAAAATGTCAGGTGCAAATCAATGACAACAAAGAAATACATGTGGAAACTTTAAAAGAAAAATCAAACCAGGGAGACTGAGTGTAAATGTCATTGACCCAAAGAATAATTTCATTCATTTGAATACAACTCTATAATTTCTCATTTATACAGACTTGCAAGTTCAATGTACAATGCAGGCCTACTTAGTTAAATTGCAAAATGCAGTCTCTTGGAACACAAACATCGGTTACAATTTGTTTTTAAAGGGAATGTACGGTACATCACTGGCTTTTGCTGTAATTTCTAGAAACGAACTATTTTGGGGCTTAGTATAATAGATCAAATATTGTTACACTGACTTGCTTAAAGTTTTGCGCTCGAAAATGCTGGAATAAACCAAGAAAAAACAAAAACGTTCAAGTAGTCTGGTTCCCTGACTCCACTAAAGATGAAATGGATCGAAAATGCCGGAAAATTGTAAGGTAAAGGAACCAGTCTAGCTGGCCTGCACCCGTTCATGAACATGGAACCCTAACAAACAACATTTGGACTGCAAAAAAAAACAATGGTAAATATGGAGGAGTAGTTGAAAAATAGTTCGGTTTTTCCAACGGTGGTCGACCGACCACCGTTGGAAATGTACACAAAAGTACCATTTTTTTCTTGAAAATGACTTCACACCAGGTGCCATAATTTTACAGGATGCTTTAGACTGTCATTTACCAACATCCTAGTAAGGTATTTCGTAACAACTTTGTAATTTTATTTTTCGATGTTTGCAAATGTTGTATTTTCCCTTTAACATGCATGAAAACTGTGTAATTGAGTAGATCATCCCAATCTACAGGTAAAAGTGTACAGGTCTGTAATGGAAGACCATCCAAAATACATGCAACTGACGAAATGCACTGTATACATTTGTACATTGTACTTGTACACGTAGACATGTATGTACACGTATGTATTATCTTTATAATAACACTGTTCTGTTTAATATTTAAGTCTGGTACAGTGGTATCTGCACAATGCGGGCGCATAAAAATTTCAAGGACTTAAAATACATCACGTGTGCATTTTTCAAAGCTTTATTATCTGAATTTTTATGAGTTTTGACTATTGCACTTCAATACTACCGTAATTTAAATGTACAATGAACACTCAATACATGTATATGTGCATATACCGATATGCAAATTACAGTATGCTTTTTCTGCAGTACTTACATGCTTACAGGTACTGGTACTACATGTACAGTGTACAGGTATGTACTGGCCAATGCATTTACTGGATATTAAGTTTTACTGTCTTTACAAGATGTTCATATAGCTCAGATACAGGTACATGCATGGTACTCAATTTACATTTCAAGCTCTTTGCCACAGTGTCAAAATGTGTATTACAATGCGACATTCCCTAGGACACTAGTACTGCTGGCGTAAATTCCCTATAAGTTGTTGGATTTTAAGCCTTCAGTGTATTATATGGCCATAGTAGTTGTGTAGTACTCTGCAGTACGTACAATGTATGTTAAAAACACACACATGCACTTAAGAATATGATTTTTTCCAGTTCATATTCTTATGAATACATACATGTATACATGTATGTACAAATGTACATTTCATTTGCCAGGTTTACCACTATTGTTACCACATGAAAATGAGTCAAAAAAAAACAAAACAAAAGCAAATCAAAACAAAACAAATGGTAAAATGTAATTTCCTACCTGAGAATTTTGTGGCTTGTTCAGTCCATCTGAAGAATTCCCGTCTTCCAGTTCCACCCTTGGTGCTCCATGTTGCAGTGAATCCTCCACCTTCTGAATATTCATATCCTCATTTACAATTGGTCCATCCTCTTGAATGGCATCAGTTTCTCCTTCCAATGATTTGGTTTGATGAATACATGCATCCTCCTTAGTTTCCAATTGCTGATTTTCATTTGTCAAAGTTAATTCCCCAGGTTGCTGTGCAACACCTTCAATCTCATCCTCAGAGAAATTTTCTCCGAGTTCATCATCTTGATTCATTTCTCCCCGATTCTCAATCTCATAATTCACAGCAGGGTATTCAGATTGTAATTTTTCTTTAACTTCAGCAGCTCTTTCGTGAGGGTTCTCATCATCAAGAGATGGCAAAAGAATTCCTTTGGGATCCTCAGATGTGTTATCCACCGACTTTCTCCCCAGCTTTGGTGATGTGTTATCCACCACCACAGCTGTTTTTATATTCTCAGCCTTCGGCGAGGCATGGATGGTTGGGATCCTTGGCGATACACCCGGCTGCCTCTTCTTGACCAAGTAGGTGTTAGTCCTTTTCAGACTAGTACCTGAGGATGATGGTGGGCTTTCCAAGTGTTCTTGCCCGGAATCAGTGGTTTTCTGAGCTTCTGGAGTGGAACCGCTACCCTTCTTGAGTTCTGGCTTAGAGTTGATTCGGGAAAGGCCTCGCGGAGCTGCGACAGGGGCTGCTCTTGCTTTGGCATTGCCACCGCTACCTGAACTACCCACAGGGAGTGTTTTTGTTAGTCTGGAATCAGGCATACTACCGACAGATCTCCTGGCGGTGCTAGCCTTTGGTTGGCTATCTGGAGGCGTTCCAACTTTGGCAGAGTCTTTGCTTCCCAAGGCGGAACCCTCAAAACCCAGACTTTTTGAGAGGGAGTTCTTTGAGTTACTTCTGATTAGAGGTTTTGACAAGGCACGATTGGTTGGCACAGATTTAGCATCGCCGGCACCCCATATTGGCTTGGACTTCTTGGTATCCAGCTCCGATTTTAATCGCTCGATCTTCCGTCGCAGAGTTGCCTCGGTGTCTTTGGTGACTGTAGCAGACCGTGCGGATTTTGCCGCTTGGCCAGGGACGGCCGCCCGATTCGAGTTTCGAGTCACACTAGCAGCTCGGCCTGTGGATGACGCAGTTTGCCTTGGTGTGGATGCGGAAGAACGAGGTGTGGTGGACGGAGTTCTGTTACGGCCGCCTGGCGTCCCAACTGGGGGCTTCCCCAACACAGTGCCATCATTGGAAGACATGATTGAATATCAACAAGTTGTTTTGTCTGTCATAACAGCATCCATGAATACAAAAGTGCAGTACAGATACTACATGTATATGGTGAAAATCTGCAGAGAGCAAAGTTCAACATCTGTGTTGTTTTTCTTTCAACAGCTTCAAGGTAACAATACTGAACCAAAATGAATACCAGTGCTTATTGATGATTCTTAGTGTACGATAGTTCTACGTAGAAAAATGCGTATCAGGTTTTATTTTTATGAATTTGAAGAGCACTTGTTTGAATAATGAATACAGACAGTATGGTCAAAATGGAGTACTCGTACAAAGTCGTAGTCATATTTCGTTATTGCTGAATACTGTAGTTAGAATGCATGTCACATGACCGTTTGCTGGGTGGTTCCCATATGGCTGAATCTGAAAAAAAAATAGAAACAGATGGCAAATTAATCACAATTATTCCATGAATCAGAACCCTTTGAAAATTGCACATCTGCATTAGAAACATGTAACTGCAATTTGTAAACACGTGTGTACACAGGAAAATTAATTTTGACCCACTCACTGGCTTCTGTTACATGTATTCAGTTAAAATCACTGATGCCCAAAAAAGCTGATTGAAGCTGTTTTGTTCATTATTAACGTCACTTCATTATACATGTACATAGAATGCAGGATTTTTTTAATCAAAATTTAACACCACGCGATATCCCATTGCATATCTGTACTTATTTCAATTTGGTTATAATCAAGGCCAAAGAAATGTTACTGGGTTACGTACATTTGTACAATCCTGAATAAAATTAATACAAAAGAAACTAGTAAACACGAAGTTGTTCTTGTGAACTTTGATGGATTAAAAAGCAGTTTTCAAATTTCACCAACTCCATTTCTCTGTAGTCAGGTGGTGTGAATAACTTTGGTGAATTTCAGGACAACCCTGCATTCATTTTGATTAACTTAGTATGATGTAAACATATGGTGCCAAGTTCCCAAAAAAATGCATTAATATGCCCATACTTATGTACATGTAACTGTATATTAACAACATTGAAAACAGTCACGATCATTTATTCAGCTTTCAGGTAGGTTTGTCTATCTGCATTATTAATATCAAACACCTGCTGGTAAAGTGACAGCTACTGTACATGTATTTGATTCAGTGCACAGTGTGTCAATTTCAGCATTATTATAATTACAGTACAGTAACCAATTCCTTCATACTCCACTAGTTTTGAAAATTTGAGGACTCTTTCGTGAAGCTTTTAAATTATTTATTTTTGGGGGGGAGGGGGGGGGGATTGGCGAACCACATGTTACTTTGGTCGTTGTAATAACCACCTTTAATTTCCAGTGATTATGTCATGGCGAGCCCCTTTCTTTTTGTGGGAAATTCGGAGATAAAATGACAATAAAGAGGACAAAACGCTACAACACAAAACAAAGTTGGCGATCACCGCGATGAACCGTGAAAGTGAATACTAAGCTGAATTGCATGGGTCGTTAATCGATTTTATGTGACGTATTATGTGATGGGTCAAAGGATTTAAGGCTAGTGCGTGTTCGTGCCGTCGCAAAATTTACTAAAATTCTCTTGAATGAACTGTTTCTTCGAAAAATGATTCGGGGTGGTTCTGCCTGAAAAATTAATTTTCTCGCGTGCTTTGTTTTTGTTCCCGCGAAGCAGTTTTTGATTGATTCGCAACTGATTAAGCTAAACCGATACGGAACTAGGAAAAGTAGCATCAGTACTGTTGACGTCGGTAAGTCAAAATTTAAAGAGTTTTAAATTGGGAAAAAAATTTTTTTATAATAATAATATAACTTAAACAATAATATCTACTCAAGTCAACATACACTTAATGTCACTTGAATTCGTGGATCAGTTTGAGCCGAATTAATAATAGGCTCTTTATTTTAAATTATACACTACAATTTCATCCAACATCTAATGTTTTTCCACGCCACTCTTACAAAACCGCAAAAACTTAAAACGACGTTTCCACCATGCTATGCCTGCACGAAAGATCATCATGATCACTCCACCAACATTCACCATGCATGTTTACAAGCGAAGCCGAAGTCACACGCGAATTCCCACACAACGACAACGTGTACACAGTGTATTCCATCATGTCGTCTGTTTATGACTGAACCAAACGCCAAATTTCTTCACAATTTTTAACTTACCAAATCATAGACAGCTCACCCCTACAGCTTCACAGCATTTACGGCTACCAGACATTTCATGCAACGCGAGTTAGAAAGCTGAAATTCCTTAACAGAATCCAAAGTCGACCAGTCAGTCACAACAAATTTTGCCACCATTCGGTGCTTGGTGACGTCACGTAACCTTTGACCCACTGGTAAAAGCCAGCTATCGTAATTTGCATATATCTTCTACGCTAAACGCGAGTGCAACAGGTGGAAAAAAGGAAGACTTTTTAGAAAAACGTCGTCTCCGAAACATTTTACTGTACTTTCGGATTCTTCTTTACCCCTGAGAAATCAGGGACAGGGGGAATTCAGGCGTTAAAAATTATCCACCGGTGTAAACGAATTCTTCACGGTGTATTTAGGTTCATTTCGGTCAGCAGTGGGCGGGGCGGGAGTTCGGGTGATTCAACGTTGAAAAAGAAAACGCCCATTTCGCAATTAATGATTTGTTTCAATGCGTTAATTCCAAAGTGCTATCCGTATAATTTATTTGAATAAGAGCTGTAGAATTTTCAGGAAAGTTCATGTCAGAATGTCAAATAGCCTTTAAAGTTGGTCATTTTGTTGCCATGCTGGCAAATCAACTTTAACGGCCCCCTGCTAATTTTGGTAGAAACCTTTTGGAACCTAAAGACTAAAGTACACTCTAACTTCTTGCGCACCCCCCCCCCCCCCTGGACACATACAGGTGTGTATTTGCCTGCAATCGGGGACCCCCTATTGTCCCTCTTTTGTTTGTACTTTAACGTTTTAGAAAGACCTCCCATGTTTTGTACACGATTGCCAAATTGGAGACCTTCCGGCATTGCTATAGGGGACCAATAATTGCCCTCTATTGTTCAACGTCCCCTATTGAAGGCAGAAACAAACTTGCACACAAGTACACATCCACATTTGTATCTCAAAAAACAGCGATTTCACGAAGATCGATTACACGTTTATGTGGAGCTCTTGGGCTGGATAAGGGCCTTAATCGAGCGGTTGGGCCAGGAGGTGGGGACTCTGTCACCCTGGCGGGCTGGGATGGGTGGGGTCAGGAACGCAGGTTCAAGGGAGGGTCCAGTTAAATGAATGAAGGGACGACCTGACAGCACTTTCTCCGTTCAATGGTTTATTCACTGAAACATGTGCTAGCCAAACTGCATTTAGTTCCATTCTACCGCGCGTGCAAAACCAGATTTAAAGGCTTACAGTTCTGTAAATGAAATCCAGACATAACTTAAACTGAACTTAATATAGGCCTAGTCTCCTGAGTCGGGTGTAGATGATTCAATTATAGTTGCACAACTCAGGACGAAACCACAAATACACACGTCAACCCCGGCCTCTGGCTGACCAGCACTTGCACACACTCACGCAAGTGTGTATTTGCCTGCAATCGGTGACCATTGTCCCTCTTATGCCTGCAATCGGTGACCATTGTCCCTCTTATGTTAAACATAAGAGGGACAATGGTCACCGATTGCAGGCAAATACACACTTGCGTGAGTGTGTGCAAGTGCTGGTCAGCCAGAGGCCGGGGTTGACGTGTGTATTTTTGTACTCTTACTTTTTAGGAAGACCTCTCATATGTTTTGTACACAAATCCAAATTGGGGACCTCTCGGAGATTGGGGACCCTATTGTCCTCTATTGTTCAACGTCCCCTATGAATGCAGGAACAAACTCATACACATCACACGCATTCAACCCGTCCCAAAATGCATCAACCTATAGAAACTTCATGAAGACAATGTCAGTTTTGCATGAAAATCCGCTTCTACTGACTAAAAACATCGACAGATCAAATAAACGTGTCGTCGAAACATCATAGAAATACATGCACACTTCGCAATTTACTGTAGACTAAAATTGCCTGGGTTCCAAATGTGAAATATAACCCAAGTCTCGGGTGAAAACTGCTACTACCCAAACTGGGTTGTTTGGGTTAGAATTCCTGGTTACATTCAAACGAAAATTTCGGTTAATACAAGACCAATTTTAGTTATATCGACCATAGATTGGGTTTTATTTGCCCCTAAGCTTGGGCTTAAGTTGAAGCTATGTTGGGATGTATTTACTTACAACTTGGGGTCAATTTAACACTAAGCTTTACTTGAAGATGTAACAAAACTAACTGAGGCAAAACGGCACGGCCGCTTGTCTCGATTTGACCAAACTGCATGGATACTTCGTAGACAGACACATCTTTGCTGCTCCAGTCTGGCTTCAAGACCATCTGCAGGCATGGCTGGACACATGGTTGGAGCGCATGGCCCCATAGGCCCTGGGAGCGGCTGAGCTCTCCGAGTCGTCACTCGATATACATCTGAATCAGACTCTTCTGTTTTCCCTTCCGAAAGCAATGAACGTTTAATATGTGAGCAATGGACTACCTTCTCACTTCCCAACCGGTTGCAAACCACCGTTCAGGCTGACCGTCGTCATAAGACTGTTTAATCACCATGTATAAGGGTCTGCCTCCCAGTGGTCCTAGATCTTGCATCGACACTTGCGTGTAAGTCATGCAGCTTTAGGACATATACTGACGTACGTCCAAAGGCTTCTCAAGCACACTACGCGCTCGCAGTGCCTGATGACGGGCTTCTATCCACAATCGGATTGGAGTCGTAGAAGGCAACATCATAGAAAGGAACACAAGCTTCACCACGGCCCGGGCTGCTGCAGATGCACTTTGGTTCTTTGTTGGTATACATGGTCCACAAATATGTAGATAGCGTTTGCCGGGTGGTTAATTGCTTACAGTACATCAATTTGCACTTGACACACCACTCCTCCACCAAGGCTTCCATTTTGTGCCAGTAGCAGGCGCGGTTCTAGAACCAATATTTGGGGGGGGGGGCTAGCACGGTGGATCCAGATTTTTTTCAGGGAGGCGTGCTGAAATGTAGACCGCTTTTTTCCCAGACACTTAGGACTCCGAAAATCAATAGGTGGGTGGGGGGGGGGGGGGGGGGGGGGGCTCATGCCATATTTTCAATGGGGAGCGCCAATGGAGTTAGGAGCATGGTTGAACGTTAATTCTTCCCTGGTCTGAAGGTTAACTCATGATCAATCGAACTCAGTAGTTCAGTGCACCCCAAGTTCGCCTTATCCTAGGTCAATGGTTGGTGATCGGTATCATCGGTGATAATCCTTGAAGACTTATGTTACAGCCCATTTAATGACCAACAGTTTGGATCTGAACGAACTGCAGCGGACGTTCTGGTGGTCTCAAGGTTCGAGTCATAAGGGATTACTCTGTGACGCCCATCCCCATCTACCTGAAGCAGCACGGCTCATAGACTGGTGCCACATGCAGCAGTCTCAACACGGAAGGGTTTAGTGGAGTCTGCATATAACAGGACAGGTGATGCAGTGAGGCGGTCAAATAATGTCTTGAAAGCAGCAATCACCAAGGGCAACCCAGCTGGAATTAGACTTGCCCCGCTATCCCTTGACAGTTTTGCCGCATCTTATATATAGCGAAAAAGTGGCTCACTAATTGAGGCATAGGCCAAACCCTTGATAAATCTCCGGAAGATCAAAACCCGCTAAACCTAAGAAGGCACATCGTCCCTTCACTGTTGTTGGCGCAGGCCAATCTCATACCACACTGATGTTTTTTTCGGGATCAACAGCAACACCATCATGGCTTCAAATCAAGTGGTCCAGGGATGATCGTACCTCATGTCAAAGAGGGTGGTACTTGGCTGGCTTCAGTTTGAAGCCATATGCAAGTTGTCCAAGCCTTGTGAATACCAACTGTACAGAATGTACCAAGTGTGAATCAAAATTGGCTGAATAGACGATTCTGGGGAGAGGAAAGGAATCACGCTGGGTGATCTGATTAGGTTGACGATAGTCCAATCATATTCTGATACTTTCATCTTTTTCTTAACAACCACTTGGGATGCCCAAGTGCTGTTACTCTCTTTCATAATTCCTGCCTCAAGACCCCTATGTGGTTCCAAACTGCACGATACTGTCATGTTGGCAGGGATCAGTAACGCTGTCTCACTAGATGCGCAGAAACTTTGTCAATCAATGTGTAATGGAGTCAGTATAATCGAAGTCTGCTTTTCAAGGAGTGATACGATTTTGGCATGTAGTTCAGGATCCAACTGCATCTGCTCTACATCAACTGGTGCTGGCATTAGGTTGGAATTATTCGCAGCAACTTCACTAGTTCCAGTGTTAGGCAGACATGTCTTCGGTTGGGAGCTGCTCTTCATCAGAGAATGGACGGCCGAGGAATAGGGTATCTGGCTGACGTAGGGACTATCACCTTTGTATTTGTTGAATTGTACATAGTCACTGGAAAGCGGCCATCGTGTAAGGACGGGGGCATAAACTACACCTTTCGCAACAGGTTCTAGGACAGCTCATACTGAATCACCTCCTGGTCCCAAATGAGATCTGCCATGAACCACACAGCTTCGCGGGTTGAAATCACAAAAGACCCTCCACCAAGGTATGCTCGCCGAACTTCTCAATTTTCTTTTCCAAAGGTGACTTTTTGTTCTACTGCCTTGAGAGCCTTCCGCCAGACAGTGCAGGAATTGGCTAGTTGATCTTGGACATGTAAGAGAGGCCATTGGCGCTCATCAGTTCCTCCCAACACCGTTGCAGGTGACATTCATGCGAAGAATTCCCTGCACATTTTCTTCTTCGTGCAGCTGGATCCCCGTGGATTGATCTTCACGGATGACAAGCACCAAGCGGGATTTGATGACCCGGCCCACTGCACCGTGAGAATCTTTCTCGAAGCATCCAATTTTTGGGATGGTAGTCCACTTACTGACACTTAAGTGAATGGCATCGGGCTTATTGCAATGTGAATGGAAGCCTTCGTCGCCTGTTCAACTTCTCCACTTTTGTTCCAATATCGCGATACAAGAGCGAATGGGGCATGTACTGGCTTGTAACCTGTGCTTGGGCAGTGTCGGCCTGTTGCATGTTAAGAAAGATACGGTATTGAAACCCAGTAGTGTTTGCATGTCGCCAAAAAGACCTATAAGACATATTAAGACGTCAAGCTTTGTTTACATGTGCGCTTTGCTATGAGAGCCAAAGTTGAATCGGACGTAGGATATAAATCTGATGAAATTAATACTACAGCTCAAAATTTAAGCAATAAGAATATG